ACACCTTTCTTTCTTCGTCATGTTTCACAAACCCAACTGGTTGTTTAACATAGACTTCTTCATCTAAGGATCCATTTAAGAATGCACACTCCACGTCCATCTAACATATGTGCCAACTATTTATTTCTGCTAGACTAACAACCAACCTGATTGTTTCGATCCTAGCAACAGGTGCAAAAACTTCATCTAAGTCTATTCCTTCTTTCTGTAGAAATCCTTTTGCCACAAGTCTTGCTTTGTGTCGAGTTACTTCACCTTTTGAATTTGTTTTCACTTTGTATACCCACTTGACATCAATTTCCTTCTTGCCTTGAGGCAATTCGACAAGTGACCAAATATTGTTGTCTTCGATAGACTTTACTTCTTCGTTCATTGCTTTCACCCACTTCGAATCCTTTAATGCTTCAGCTGCATTAACGGGTTCAACATCTGCATAGAAAGCATAATGTACCAGCTCATCTTCATCATCTATCACATCATCTGATGTAATCACACAATCTTGCAACCTTGCAGGCATGCGTCTTGTTCTTTGAGGTCTGCTTGTACTTGATATATCTGTTGGTTCCTCTTGTCGAACTTCTCTTTCGACTTGAGTTTCTGGCTCTTCAAGAAGGATTCCCACTGAATCTTTCTTGATATTTTCAGTTCAATCCCATTCTTTAAACTCATCTATGATCACGTCCCTGCTGATCACAATCTGCTTTTTCACTGGATCAAACAACTTGTAGCCTCCCGTCGAATGATATCCAACTAGAATCATTTGACTTGACTTATCATCAAGTTTTCTTCCCAACTGATCTGGCACATGTCTATGTGCAATAGATCCAAATACCTTCAGATGACTCAAGCTAGGCTTCACACGACCAACATTCTTCTGGAGTAATTCCTTCTAGCTTCTTTGTAGGACATCTGTTCAAAATGTATGTTGCAGTCGAAACAGCTTCACCCCCAAACTCTTTAGGTAAATTCTTGCCTTTCAACATACTTCTCACCATATTCATGATGGTTCGATTTTTCCTTTCTGCAATTCCATTTTGTTGTGGAGTATAGGGTGGCACCACCTCATGCACAATCCCTTCCTTTTCATATAATCTGTCGAAGTCTTTCGACACATATTCTCCACCACCATCAATTCTCAAAACTTTGAGCTTTCGACCACTTTGTCTTTTGACCATAGACTTAAGCTTGGTAAATACTTCAATCACTTCACTTTTCTTCTTGATCAGGTAAGTCCATAGCTTTCGACTGAAATCATCTATGAATGTAACAAAGTATTTGTTACCTCCCATCAAATCCACCTGGATTGGTCCACATACATCAGAGTATATGACTTCAAGACTAGCCTTCGATCTGCTTCCTGCATCCTTGCTGAAGCTATTCTTGTGTTGCTTCGCCTGCACACATTCCTCACATACCTCGTTTGGAATGTCAATTTCTGGCAATCCTGAAATCATATTTCTTCTCTTCAAATCTCTGATGTCTCTGAAGTTGAGATGGCCTAGTCTATAATGCCATATCCATTCATCTCTACTAGCTGCAGTCGAAAGGCACTTGTGCTCCATCACATTTAGTTCAATCTTGAAGGTTCGATTCTGAGACATAGGAGCCTTCAAGATTAATCTCCCATTTGCATCAACGACTCTCATCATCTTATCTTCGATTGACACTTTATAATTTTTTTCGACCAACTGCCCTATACTGAGCAAATTTCTCTTCATGCCTGGTATGTACAATACATTGGAAATTATTGACCTTTTGCCATCTTTCCTCATAATCATAACATCACCAATACCTTCAGCTGCTAGGGTATTGTCATTTGCAAATTTTACCATATTTTTCATTGAGGGTTTTATATTGACGAACCAGTCTTTCCTTCCAGACATATGTGATGAACATCCTGGATCCAAGTACCATTGATCCTTGAATCTATCTCCATCTCTTGTTGTGACCATCAGCATCATCTCTTCTTCTTCATGTTTTGCAAGCTTTGCATCACTTTCTTGATTCTTTCGTTTTTCTGGACAATCACTCGCATAGTATCCATACTTCTGATAATTGTAACATTGAATGTGACTCTTATCAGGTTTTCGACCACCACCTCTTCCTCTATTTGCAACACCACCTCTTTGGTTACCTTGGTATGGTCTTCTTTGATTCAACACGTTTTCTTCAATCTGGTTTCCTCTACCATTCGATTTGTTGTAGCCACCTCTACCTCTGTCAAAACACTTTCCTTTTCCTTTGGTCTCTTTTGCTGAATGTGCCTGCAAGGCCACACCACTCTTCGATTTTCCTGCAGCTCTTTCGTTCATTCTTTGTTCATGAGATTCAAGCGTCCCTTGAAGCTCTTCCTTTGTCAATTTCGACAAGTCTTTCCCCTCTTCTATCTCCACCACTATGTGGTCGAACTTAGGAGCTAAAGATCTCAAGATCTTCGACACAACAGCTCTTGTTGTTAACGCTTCTCCACATATCTTGATTTGATTTACTAGTTTTGTAACTCTAGTGAAGAAATCAGATATGCTTTCACTGTCTTCCATCTGAAGCAGTTCATAGGTCCTTTTGTGAGTTTGTAACTTCACTTCTTTCACTTTCTCAGTGCCTCCAAAAGACTTCTCAAGGATTTCCCAAGCTTCTTTTGCATATTCTAAATCACTAACCTTTTCGAAATTGTCTGGGCTGACACATTGATGAATTATAAATAATGCTTTATAACTCAGCTTCTCAGATTCTACGTATTTCTTCTTTTCTTCTTCTGAAGCGTTTTCTCCAAGCGCTTCGACTCCATCTTTTACAAGGTCCCAAAGACCTTGACACCTGAATAAGACTTTCATCTGTTTGCACCAATTCTCATAGTTGTCAACTTTCAGAATTAGTAGGGTTGCTGGATAATTTGCATTCTCATAACTTGTCATCGTGAATTCTTCAATCGTTCTTGATTGACACTTCCCTTGAATCGAAACAAAGCTCTTGATACCAGATGTTGGAAATCCACCAAAATCTATGATGAATTTCTACCACAATGATAATTTAATTATGAGACAAACAAAGAAAAGAAGACAAGACAAATAATTTCTGCAGAGTTTCTCTCTGCTCACAAACTGTGAAAACTTTCTTATTCACTTTGCAACTGCAAAATACTGTGAATGATTTGCTTGACTTGCTTACAAAAATAGGGGTTACTCCCTCTATTTATAACTGAGCTTACACCCTAAACCCAAAGCCAAAAATATCTTTTTGTTACTAAATCAAATCTAATTTATTCTAGACTTAAATCAAATCTATTTAAATCTAAAACAAATCAAATCTTTTCGACACATAGTTTCGACACATTGAATTATAATTTAACATAAACAACACTGAAAGGAGGATGCTTAGCATAGCCACGTGACACATTGTGGAGAAAGAATGACATTTTTGTCTTTGAAAGAGAAATCACCTTTCTTATATGATAGATATCACATGACTTTTGATTTTTCCTCGGTCATTCTTCAAATGGAAGAATAGTACTCCCTTTGTCTTACAATAAGTATTTCTTTTCTATTTTTATTTGTCTCAAATTATTTATTTTTCAAATTATCAATGCGATATTTATTATTTTTTTAACTAATTTATTATATTTTAATTCATGTAACTACTCCACTACATATTATTTATAAGATTATTTCAGTAAATAAGATTTATTTTATCATTGAAATTAACACAATTATTTATTATCTTAAAAAGTATGAAAATATCAAAGAGGACACCTAATATGAGATTGAGAGAGTATGTATGTAACATATTTGATTATTGAGAATCATAACCTATCAATAATGTGTTGACAATATGTAATTAATTATGGTTTCGATTTGTACTCGTAAAAGTACATCAATATAACTTTATCATTAATAACCAACAAAGTCCTCGTCGAACTATGAGTGGTTTGCGTATGAATTTTCCTCATTTTTTTGCATGTCTATATATAGTATGCTTGATTAATATCACATTATAACTATTTAATGACTTTATCACCTTGTTTGAGCGAGATCTTTATGACTATAATTGTCTTGTTTTTCTGTCTCAGCATAACCAACATGTCATTTTTGCCATAAACAACCGTGTTTTATATTGTATGATACGAGTTATAGCTAAGCCATCCAAGTTGGACTGATCTCCTGAACTCGTTTATGTTCATCCTGAGCTCACCCCTGTCTTTCGAGTATTATTCGAGCTTCATGCACGACAACCACATGCCAATATAAACATATAGGTACATAGTCCCTCAAGTATGAGATCTGTAGGGAAAAATGTTTTAAATAATAAATCCTGACATTGCACTCCTCCAACTTTTTTTGAGGCCACTCAAGGCATGTCGTCACTTATGGGGTATTCTCTAAGGTCTTGCCAAAACACCTGCTTAAAGGGGTGAAGTTGAGTGAACTTATATTATTTTAGATATATCGGTACACAATCTCCCAAATCTGAGGCGTGTAGGGGCGAAGTACTTTCATTGAAATATCACGACCTCTTACAATTTGTATCAAGTCAAACTGACCTCTTAATTAAGAGTCGAGTTGATCTTGAGATTGAAGTAGCTCGTCGTTGATACTTTAGAGAAGATCCTTTCAATCTTACTAGATGTTTTCCAGAGTTAATCTTACTCTTGGAATGCGCTGTCCAATGTGTTAATAAAATTTCTTATTTCTTGGACCTGTCTTACTAGGTCCCTATTTCAAAAATAGACCTAATGGAACACAATCTCTCATCATGAGGTGTAGAGACGAAATACTTTAGTTGAAATGTGCATATGAAAAAAGTTTTAAAAAAATGAAAAAGTAGGCTCAGCTTGTATTTCAAGAACTCGCCTTTTGAAAGCTTGACAATTTCAAAATTATGGTGGATGGGGATATTAACACCTCAATTCATTTTTTGAAGGAGAAGGAGTTCACCAAAAATATGAAGTTAGTGGCGATCACGATTACAAAAATAAATAAAGAAATTTACAAGTAAATTCACTACTAACTTAAGTCTTGAAAATAAAGGATCTCTATACTAGTTTTCTTTTCCATTAAACACACCGGACATGCTTTGAGAAAATACTCACATGCTTTACACGAGCAAAGGTGTCGACAAGGAAGAAACAAGAAAGTTGATTCATTCAAATGACACCATTTGCAAATCATTTTTAATCTTGTTGTAATTTCATGATCATGACACACTATATTATTCTCATTCTCATTCTCATCTGTTTCTTCTTCAAGCACGTTCATGTCACAACATGACTCTATATCTTGAGGATAATAAGAAGCTTTTCTATTTATATGTTCTAAGGCATTATTGAGAGATAATACCATAGATTCATTCTCATCAGCATTTTTTCGCCACAATTGATTATCACTCTCTAATTTTGTTACATATTCTTCTAACTCCAACTTTATATTTGCCACTTCTACTAATTGTTCATCCTTTTGTGCTAGGATATAAGAGAAATTTAATTCTTCCTTCTTCAATGAACTCATTACTCCTTGTCTTCTATTCTCTTCTTCTTCCAATATTCTCAATATCTCATTCTGCCACCATAATTTAAATTTTTTCCTTAATCAAAAATAAAAAATATAAAAAAAAGAATAATAGTAAATCTCACAAATTTGAAGAATAAGTAAATCTCACATGTTTGATTCAATATAAGATAGAAAAATAAGTAACAAAATTGAAAAATTAAGCTAACTAATTACCTTTGATTTGATAAGCTGGTTCACCTCAACCCTTTCTGGATCAAACTCATTGTAGTTATGCTTAATGGTAGCATCAGAGCCATTTGAATTACAATCAAGAAAAAGAAAATCGGGGTTATGAACGATCATGTTTTGATTTAAGGCGTGGCCTTATAATAATTCAATACAAAATCAATGAGTTTTTTCAAATCTAATTTTCTTATATATGTTACTATATAAAATATAACGTAGGATACAAGTGATATTGTAAGGCGAATTTAAAGGCAAATTTTGAGCAAGAGATATATAGACTTTGTTTGTCTATATCTGTCTGTGACAGTGAATTATTTATATAGTACTTGTAAGATCATGATTTCAAATGCATTGATTAATTAATTAAAAATGGATAGATTTTGAATTAACCAAAATAGTAACTGAAGAAATTTAAATGGAAAAAAAAATAGAGAATCTGAATTACTTGTTCCTCAAATGCAAGAGTGTGGAATGCTACAGACGACATGCAGATTTTGTGACAATATGAAAAATCAAATTAAAGAAAAAGTCTGTTTTTGAAAGGAAAGAATTCAAAGCGCCACATTCATTGGTATTAACTAAAATTTCCGTATACATAGTATCCTTATTTATTTATTTTTGTTATTTTTTAAAAATTTCCAAATTTTCCTTGACTAGTTATTAATTGGCTCTATTATAAAGTAAATCCATAAAAAAAGTTATCTTATCTTTCAAAAATTAAATAATTAAGTAGATGATAATTGATTTAATGATATAAATTAAAAAAGAAATCTTAATTATTATCAAAATCAATTAATAAAAATGAATTATATAATATTTTAATTATAAAGATGATAATCGATTTAGTAATATATATTAAAATTTTAAAACATAATCATCAATTTAATAATTCTATATCTAAAATTTTAAAAAATATATCTTAAAATTAATTATAAGATATTACAACTAAAGCTACATTTGCATTAATCGAATGTATTACAACCAACACCTAAAAATGACCTATGTGAGATATTCGAATCGAACTCTAGTATGATTGAAGGTAATTTCTGGATCGACAGTTCGACATGAGTTTAGCATATCGTCAAAGTCTGCTCACAAGTTGTTGTCGAAGACTTACATGCTATAGTCGAAATGTGTTCTAGTATGTAGATGTCGATAATGCTAGGTTTGTTAGCATGTCGAATTAGACCAGTTTGTTATGTCCAATTGGTTAAGTTAGCTTGTAATGAGTATTTATAAAAAAACCCATTAATTTAGTATGTTAGGTTTATTATAAATAGCATACTAGTTTATCATTATTGCATACTGTAAATTCTAATTTAGGATGAGAGGGGTTATTTGTTATTCTTGCAACACTTGTAATCTTGTTTAAAGAGAAAATAAAGAATAACAAATATAATCAATCCTTGTTGTTCTCCGTGTTTCTCATTCTTTTCTATCCTTGTGTATTTTTTGATCATAAAGAAACCATTTATATTTTATTTTAAAGGGATCATTTTCATAATAAATTAATGCGGTGAGCTGGAGAAGATGCCTTTAACAAAGTATGAGATTGAAAAGTTCACCGGAGTGAACTATTCCGGTCTGTGACGCTTGAAGATGAAAGCCCTACTTGTTCAGCAGGGTTGTTTGGAAGCGTTGAAGGCAGCGGCGACCATGGATTATGCGTTAACGCAAGAAGAAAAGACGACCATGATAGAGAAAGCCCATAATACAATTGTTCTGAACTGGGCCGACACTTGCCCAATTGTTGGAGACGCCTAGTCCAATGCCTCTGCCTATGGCTCAATAGCTTCAGGCCCAAGTCAGATAGTCGTTGGGGATTTCCCCACGTGCCCATTAGAAAATGTGTCCCTAGTCACCATCAATCACCACCTTCCCTCTGAGAATAATGAGTTCACGGTCCCTATATTCTTGGGACGCTTTACCAGGGAGAGGGCCACGTGTTGGACCTTATTACCCACGTAAACCCTGGGAGTCCTTGTTGTAGGGTTCAAATCACTTGTCCACTACATGGATCTTGGCCCAGCGTTAGGGACTATAAATACCCTCTCACATGAGAGGGTCAGGTATCATTCACTCATTCATTCTACCTCATCTAATTTACTTGCTCTCGCCCTGAACGTCACTTTGGCATCAGAGTGTCTTGCAGATACCTCCACTTTACATTCAACTGCTGCTCAACTTGGAGCTCGTGGGCTTTGACAATCACTTCTGATCAGGTACGATCAGTGGTGCCATCTGTGAGAAACCAACTACTCTGTCTTTCACTCAAGACCAAAGCAACTCTCTTAACCTTCTGATTGTCATGGCCGGCCAAGCTTTCAACAATAACTAGGACGTTCACTTCACCGACGCTGGCAACAACAATAATGTTGCCGCCCCCGAGCAAGACTGATGGAAAAAATAGCAAGTTTACTATTTTTTTCTCCTGTAACAATATGGAGATTCCCCGAATATCGATCTCAAGGACTGTGTGCAATTATCGAGTTTAATTCGTAGTTTAATAAACAAAATTTAATTTGGGATTTTGGTAGTGAAATTTTCACTCAACAAATAGCAGGAACATAAAGTGGCTTTTCACTTATATGAGGAGCATGCTAGGGGTAGGTGTTTGATTTGACCCTGTAATAACCTTTACTCTTGATCTTTCCAACAAGTTCATAACCTTCAACTATCAGATCTTTAGGTTTCTTTCCCCCAAGTCCTCAATGGGAAAACCTTTGGTCAATCATCCTAATATCTAAGTCCTTAGAAAATTACAATGCTACCAAGCCTTCAATATTATCAAGATTTCACCGGTGACCTATAGGGTAACCCTAGTCCTAGGTGATATCTATTATAGTCTAATTGTTCAAAAACCTTAACAATGACGGTCCAACCCTAATTTTTAACCATGGATCAATCCCTATTTATCTGGTAGGAAAGGCAAAAGAACATTGAACAATTAAATAAAAAAGAAACTATTATATCAAAATTAAGAATTTAAAATCAATACATTTGCAAATCAGAGACACCCCATAGCATTGGGGGGTTTAGCTACTCATATTGTTCAAAGTAATTTCAGAATAAAAATTAAACATTACATATAGATGGTGAACTTTGATCTTCAATCGCTTTCGCTCATGAAAGGTCTCTGTTATCCAACACTTGTGTAGGCTTCAATCTTCAATCCTCAATTCTTCGTGTGGCAAAAAGTCCTCTAATTCCTCTTTCAAACTTGGCTAAATAGTGAACAATCCTTTTTCTCGTTCGAAAATGCCCAAAACCCCCTTTAGGTCCCAAATAGTGAAAAATCATAAAAACACTAAAAATTAGTGTCAGTGGCCAACACGGCCCGTGTCAGGCGACACGGCCGCCCGTGTTAGCCACCGAGAATTTCTTTTCTTTTTTCTACTCAAGGCATGCTGACACGGCCGCCCGTGTCAGCCCCCTGGTTTTCCTTGCTTTCCAAGTCTTCCCCTTGACACGATCTGTGTCAGGGCTCCTGTAGCACTTTCACTGAAACTCTGAATTCTGCACTTTTTCGTCCTGATTTGTCCTGTTTTATTCTTTTGAACCTGAAAAGACTAAAACAAAACCAAAACATAATATGCGATAAAACGAAATAAAACCTCGACAAGTAAAAGAAACGATAACTAAAATGAATTCTAAATATTTGCGTAAAAACCACTGATCAAACTCCCTTAAACTTAAACTGTTGCTTGACCTCAAGCGACCATTACAAGAACTCATGAAATTCACAACAGACTGATACTCATACATGAGACATCCATTCCAATTGATCAAAAAAACAGTCCTCCCGATGTTCATATGATGCGAAGAGTTTGTATAAGAACCTTTTAACTTGAGCTTCCTCTTTGGATAACTCTCTATCTATACTTTGGACTTAAGTCTTTTTTCTATTTTCTTCCTTTTTCATTCAGACAATCAAATTAAGGCAATGGAAATTATGATGATCATCACATACACAAGACTCATCAAGAATTTTCTTTGTTTAGGCACCAAATAGGAAGCATTTTCCACTTTTAATTACCAATGAAATTTTCAAGCTTTGCAGTTATATATTGTCCTTTTGGATGATGTTTGGGGATCGACCCCCTTTGGGCTGAATAACCGAGTGAGGGTTACTCAACTTAGCGATCCAGTTGCCTTTTACTTCCTTTTCATCATTTGTTACGCACTTTATTTATTTCTCAACCAATCATACATGCATGTGAATCTATATTATGCCAGGGTATCAAGATAAACTACTCAAGGAATACTTATTAGAATTCAAGTACTATGGGACAAATCTACATGTTAGACTTGTACCCCTGTCACGTTATTTTGAACTGTAAGTGTTTGTTGGCAGCAATTTTGGTAAAACAATGACTTGTTAATGTTTTGCTAAATGTCTTAACATTTAGAGCAAAACTGTTTTGAATGATGTCAAAGCAGATGTCTTGACATTTGCCTACTGAACTGATCTCAGTCCAAAATCAGTTAAGTCTTTTGTTTCCTGATTTCCAGCATTCTTTAATTCTGGATTTGTGATCTACAGGTTGCGAAAAATATGGAGGAATATTTTTCAAAATTGCATTATTTTATCTTGACCTATTTTTATGGAAATATTCAAAAGATTTGAATATTTGTTTTTAAGCCCAAGCCCAAAGTTGTGCATATATAAGGACTTGCTTCCTTATTCAAAGACAAGCAACTTTTGAAGAAGAATACTTTCTTTTTGATTAGAAGTTTAGGCTTTTTATTTTTAATACACCCTAAGTATTAGTTTAAATACTTGAGTTGTTATTTGGGTTGTTAATTGTGTATCATTCATAAGCTTTTAAGCATTGAATGATTGAAGTGTTTCAAACTTATTAATTTTGTTAAGTTCTTCACTGTAGGTTATTGAAGGGATTTGAGGATGGCCTCATACCTAGGTGAGTCTCAGGTAGAAGTTTAACTTGGGTAGTGATTAAGTGATTAGATCGTAAACTGGTTGTTTACTGAGGGTCTATGAATTGATACTATTTAGTGAACTTATCCCTGGCTTGGTAGCCCCTAGAGTAGGCGTTGTTGTACACTGAACTGGGTGAACAATCTCTTGTGTTTTTACTACTTTTGATTTTACTACA